TTCCGCCTCGGGGCAGGAACTCGTGCGCTGGGCATTCTCGATATCCGCTATCCAGCGTCGGCTGACAATGGGGTCCCTAGCCCCGGAAAACTCTGGTGCTCCACATGCCTTGAACTCTCGGAACGATGGAGTTCGAGCCCCTATTTGGCCTGCAGCAATCTCAGCTCGGAATGATCTGAGTCTCTCCTCCATGATCTCCATAATGACCTCATTGACCATACCAAAAATGACTGGGGTCGTGTCAAGGATGGCCCTAGTAACCTCGGCTACAATGAGCTCACGCATCCTCTCATCTATGACATCAGCAGTGTCTCCTAATCCCCCTCCCGGATCCAGACCCTGACCTCGATCCTCCTGCTCCAAATCGTGTCAACACCATGTTGAACTGAAAAGTCATAGAACATAATGATTAGGATGTTTACAACAAAGACTCTCCTTATTGGTCCCCCTTAGAGTTCCCAGGTACACTATAGGTTTGGATACAGGTCCTGTGCTTCCAGTACTATGGGCCCAATACTACCATCCACACCTACCCGTACCTTCCCCCAAGGTTCCACCTGCTAACTCCAACTCGAACCTATTTATCACAATCATTGTATATATCAAATCCCAGGCAGCCCTAATACTTGTTGTGCTCATATCAACCAAACTAGTCATAACAAGTTGCTTTTATGCATGCAAATTGTACACAGTAAAGTATCAAATAGACTTTCGAATAAAAGACTCTACCCTAGAGCCACAACCAAACAAAGAACAGGAAATAAGGCCAAATCAATCATTCTGATGCTATAAGCTCCTAACCATATACATTTTTAAAAACATACACATAGCAATTTCCACATGTTCACATAGTTTTAACAATAGCATAACATGGCTAGCATATTAGGGAACCACTTACTTGACTCGGCTGATCACGCGCGTTGCACTCTCATATTTTATTTTTATTTTTTTAATTCTTATTTATCTTTTGAAAAAAAAAATTACCATTTCCTTAGTTTGAGTCCCGACACACCCGAGGGTGTGCCCGAATCCCTCAAACCAAGGCTCTGATACCAACTTGTAACCACCCAATTTTTTTTACAACGAAATTTTTTCAATTTTAAATAATAGACATACTTGCATCAACCATAAATTTCATCATAATTGTTTTCAAATCCGATTTTATTACAAACTGTTTAAAACATCAAAGTGTCCCAAAACGTAGTAGTAAAAGAGAGGTAGAGTGCTCGTCGCGCAATCACGCATTTCCCTTGCCCTTGGGCTCGGATATACCTGAAACAAATCCACAAACGGTAAGCTTGAAATCTTAGTGAGTTCCTCAGAGAACACCCACACATAAAGCATACAACATATCATACGCGCTAATCAGCTATATAGAACTTATGAGCCATGAATGCCAAACACATAAGGAAGCCCTGAAAACCCTCCAGGGTCTTACACCGGGTGCCATGGGAACCCCGACATGGTCTTAGCCCAATGCCTTGGGAACCCCCAAGGTCTTTGACTTAGAATGCCAAGGAAACCCTCTAAGGTCTTACACCTAAGTGCCTCGGACCCCCCCCCCCCCCCCCGAGGTCTTCCATGCAAACACACAATCACATAGCATATTAAACATATAATGACTAAAACATATATCATAATCACATAATGGGTCAGCCTTGGTGCCTTCAACCCATTGGTATGGTGAGGAGACTCACCTCCGTCTGCCGAATACCAAAGCTGCTCTCTTAACAATCCGAAATCTCGCGGGCTGGATGATAATATATATTAATTAATGTTAGATCCTTAAATTAATCAAAAGGGGAAGAACCCAAGTCCCACCCTATTCATGCGGCCCAACTATTCTTTCTTTGATAATGGGTCCAAAGTCCAAGTCCAAATTTACTAATGGGCCTCTTGGACCATTAAAACCCACCCAAAAATCCATGGCCCAAATCCAGAGTCATAGCCCATAATTCACAAAGTGCATTCAGCCCAATAACCAATATGAGGCCCAAAATTTCTTCATCCCAAAACAGGATCAGCCCAAACTATCATGTGTACGCTCAACGTACCTTTCTGGTACGCGCCGTGTACTCGGTTTTCAAGGGCTACGCGCAGCGTACAATGAGTACGCATGGCGTACGTCCGAGTTAAGCACTTTCTCCATTAAGTGCTTAATATCCATTTCTTTTACGTCCAAAAGCTAGATCTAAGAAGCTTAACATGTCCTAAGGCATAAAGTTGCTAACTTTATGTCTTTACATGCCCTTATTCCTCCAAAACCATCATTAAGACCTTTTCATGGTCCTTAGCTCATGCACAAGATCTATAATTCCACAAAGATCCTATTTTTATGCTTTTAGATGACTAAGGGACCCTAGATCTGACTTTCTTATAAAATGGGGGGTTCAACTCGCCCAAAAAAGGTTCAAAGTTCATCGAAAGGGACCAACTTCACAACCCTAGCTAGATCTAAAGAACAAAAAGGAAAAATGCCAACTTTTTACCTCCAAAAGCTCTGAAAGAAGATTATGAGGCAGGATCTTGAAGCACCCACTTGATCCAAGCCTTTTTGACCAACTCTTCTTCTCGAAATGGACACTAAAAGACCACAAATGCACACCTTTAAGGCTCAAAGATGATCTCTCAAGGTTTCCAGAAGTGTAATGACGTTCTAGGGTAGTGGAGGCTCTCTAGGGTTCAGTCCAAGGAGCTTAAGGTTGTTTATATAGGCCTCAAGTCCAAGAATTAGGGTTTTTGATCCCTGGTGCGTACACCCAACGTACCTTCAATCATCCGCGACCAAAAGGACTTCGTACGCTAAGCGTACACTTAAGTACGCCCAACGTACTTAAGGGACTATTTATGCAACAATTATAATTCTAAAGGTTTCAAGACATACCATAAATTTTGGATGTAATAGGTTTTGAAAATATAATACATTTCTTCGGAAATGCTTTGATAAATTCTTTATCATATTTTTTGGAACAAATTCCGCAATATATTTCTTTAAAAATATACTATGGTTTTCAAATAAAGCATAAACAAATTGATATTTTCTAGCCGTGAATTTTGGGATGTCACAGCATTCAAGAAATCCATAGTAAGCATTGCAAGAGATCCATCATCATGACGTGCACTCAGCACACTATTAACACTATAAAGTACAACTTCAGCACCACCTGGCACACCTACTCCAAATTGAAAGTCATTAAGTGATAAGTCTATTTTATGAATGTATTAAATTGTACTAAATATGTTGAATTAATGTATGATTGCCCAAGAATGACACTACTTTGATGAGTTGTTGAGCTTTATATGCAGTTAAATACTTAGTGCTAAAGTGGGCGTAACCTGCAAGAAAAACGAGCCAACTGAAGCTAACAAGTATGGGAGATGAATTCCTAAAAGAATGAAGAAAAATGGTGCTGAGAAATTTGACCAATCTTCAATGTTTTGATCATATATCAAGATCTAGAGCTCCGATTGACATGAATGAAGAAGTTTCGGAAATTAGACAAAATTTCCTACAACTTTCATGTTTTGCATTTTTACTGATTCTACCGTTTTCATCACCAAAAAGGGGAAAAAAAGATGAGGGACGTCCTAGAACGCGTTTAAGACGCCCCCTAGGACGCCTACCCGTTTTAGGCCACTTTCAAGTGAAAATTAAGGACGATAGAAGGCATGTAAAATTCCCTGAAGGACGCCCATACGTCCTATCTGATGTCTAAGACGCCTACTAGGACGCCGATGCGGAAAATAGCTCCGAAAATCAGTTTTTTAACACCTATTTAAGGGAGATTAAACCCTAATCGACTTTGGACTTCTCCCCTGCGATTTTGCCCAGTTTTGGAGGGTTCCAAACACATTCAAACCTTTTCCAAACACATTTTTGATCACTCCAATCCGGATTCAAGACAAGAAATCATCAAGTTAATCATGATTCAACATTAGAAGATTGTTCAACCAAGGATCTTCATCATCTCCACTACAACTTTAGAATTTCCTTACTTATCCCTTAAGGTTTTATTGTTTCAAGATTTGATAATCATTATGTTATAATTGTTTCATGATTTAAATTTTGTTATTGGATTTCATTATGCATTTTATTTATCTCATCCAAGTTATTTGTTTTATGAAATCAATGGAAGACTAAACCGCTAGATTTACTTCTGGGGATGTTAGGAATTTTGGGTGAACACACTTGATTATTACTTGATTCTGGTTAATTTCAATTATTGTTTTATGCTTAATGTGATGATCTTTAGTAATGATAATTGAAATTGGGCTTTATGAATTTGTTTGATGTCATACTTAAGATAGTCTATTGTTAATTCATCATTTGTTCTAAGTTCAAGTAGTTTATAAATAAAGACAAGTGATTGAATCAACATATGTTATTCCAACTTATGATATTGAAATTTAATATGTTAATAGGTAATTGTAAGACACTTTATTGCTAATTCACTAATTGTTCCTAATCCATTTAAACATAGGGAGTAAGATAACTAGTTGAATGAACATATTGTGTGCCCAAAGTTATGTGTTACAAGATAATAAACCCCAATTGCATTTAAGTAATTGAACTAGGATTGTATGGAAGAAAGTGTGTAAATCTAAACTGTCCATAACTGAACTGGGAGTACCTTGCCTTTCTCATTGAGAGTTTCGTTTTTATTAATAAATTTCCATGTTTTTGTTTGATCTTTGTTTAAATATTTTCGTGACAATTGCTAGTATTAGTTTTTCGTTAACTATTTTAACACAAAGTTTGACCACAACCTCCTCGTGGATTCAACCCTTACTTACCCTAGCTATCTAGTGTGTGTGAGGTTTATTTTTGACTGAGACAACGACCTCGATCAAAATTTGGCGCCGCTGTTGGGGAGATTGTGCGCTTAAACAATTGTATTGAACTAGTCATTACATTTTTTTATTTTTTATTTTTTGTTTTGTTTTATTTTTAGTTCAGAATCTTTACTATTTTATTGTTTTTTTTGTAGGGATAGTCGTGAATGGAGGAATACACTTACATGAATCAAGATATGTGGTTGGGGAACGAAAATCCAGCCCAATATCAATACTATAATGATCCATACAATGATTCATATAATGATGATCCATATGATGATGATTGTTGGTGGATTGGCGATTCGGCTCAAAACCAACACCATGAATCACCTTGTTTCCCTGAAGACCAAGAATCAAATGACTCTTCATTCAACAAAAAGTTGGATCGAATGCTAGAGATGTTGAATGAAACCTTTAACAAGGAGGAAGACAACTCCAAATCAATTTCGGCAATTGAAGATCAACTAGAACAAATAACGGAGCAGCTAAAGCAACAACCACCGGGAAAACCTTCAGACTACCCAAGTAAATGAGGTAAGTTTTCTATGTAATGATAACATTGTGCATAATCCTACACCACCCGAACTTGAGGTTGTGGTAGAGGATGATGTACCTTTAAATGATAATGATACCCAAAGGATGTTTGAAATCAAAGAAGTTGTAATTGAATCGGAAAAGTCTAACGAAGAATTTCATGAGTTAGAAGCATCTAAAGTTGGGGAGGGGTTTGTAGAGGCTAATACCACACCCTACCCAACAATTTTAAAAAAAAAACGACCCACAACTTCTTCTGATGGATTCTAAAATTTTGTCAAAATACAAACAACCAAGTATAATCATTGATCGTCCTTTTTTGAAAACTATATATGCTCATATTAGTTGTCGGGAAGGTGCGATAAATGTGACTTTTGTAAGCCATAGATTGAGACTCCTATTATTTGGACCTACTAATGATCCTCCAATCAGTGGTGATTTGTGTGTAATCAATACTATTCATGATTATGTCTATGAGCATACCACAAATATGCTCTCCGACACCACCCTCGATTTGGAGAAAATTTTCTCATGTAACAGGTCAAAATCATTGAATAATAGTGGGATTCAACACATGGAAAGAAAGTTGTGGAACAAAAAACATGATGCAACACATGCCCACAAATCAAAAATGAAAGTGTTACATGATATCAAGCATCAATTAAAGAAGTTTACTAGATGGAAAGATGCATAGCTCTTCAGAACAAGGTTTAAGCATCATCATGGAATGATTAAAGGCAAAATAGTTGATTTGTACAAGGCCAAAAAAGGCTTGTCGGATGATCCGGTTCCTCAAAGTAAGGTGAGAAACCTCATGGTTGGCTTTCAAGGAAGTCAACTAACATATGATCCTCCATAGAGATCACTCGAGGTAACTCGTCCTAGTAATGACGTTAAACTTGGCAAATTTTGGAACTTTGTGGGTAAGTTCAGTGCAAACCTTCACAAGACTTCACTCGTCCACTAGGGTTTTAAAAGGTTTGTTGCACGTGCCAAGTGCAATCGTGGACCCTGACGAAATTAAGGGCTAGTTAGTGTAGTTTATTTTTATTTGATTTGATTTGTGTGCTTGTAGTTGGTTTCTTTTATTCTTTTAGGAATTTATCTTTTGATGCATCGAGGACGATGCAAGACTTAAAGTTGGGGAGGGGATGTACACAAGAAAAGGATGGAGGATTGAAGAAAAAGTGATTTTTTTTTTTAAATCATAATTATTCGATGTTTATTCGGGCATAACGAAACATTATGCAAATACATCCAACTATTGAAGTTTTCTTGGAAATCAAAACCGCCTCTACCATCAGTACCATCAGGTGTGTCGTCCTCCATATTTTTAATTTCTTTTACATTAACTTTGATGGATTTTATTTGGATAATCAACTTAGGATGAATGTACTTCTATCTTAAACTTTATGTTTTAATTATCTTATCCTGGAGTTGGTCACCATGAAATATGTGATGAGTTAGTAGCTTCTTTATGTCTTGAATGTAAATCGTCAAGATGGAAAATCATAAGAGTTTCGTACATCGAGTCATAATATCTATTTAATATTGATTTTGTGGGTTGCTCAGCCAGTTTGGGAATACTTATATTTATTTAAAATTTGTTATGTGAAATACCCAAGTGTTTGAAAAATGAAGGTTTTTGGCTCGAGCCTACGATCTTTCAGTTGAGGACCCAACCGAACAATATGTGTCATCACGCTCTGAGTACTTGGTCTTACTTATTCCTGCGCCTTTGGGGTTGGGAGGGGACTATTATTGTTTTCACACAAGCAAAAAAGAATTATAAGACATTGAAGAACTTCCAAGTATATATAATCAAGCTCAAGTCAAATACAAAGATGATCAAATCCGATGAAGCTATCAAAGAACTTGAAAAATCCACAATCAAGATAAATATGAAGAAAAGTTCAAGTTGAAGATATTGTGTGAAACGATATGTGACCCCTCGATAGTGGGAGTGTATGGGTTGGTCCATTAAGTGTTACCGACCGCGCTAACTATGTTACTGAACCTTGAAAATGAGACTTTGGCAATGAGTTCAATTGATTACTCATAAGGTTGATTATTGGAAAGGGTTTAAAAAATGGAGGGTTTCAAACAACAAGGTAAAATAAGCATAACATGTATTTTGTTTAAAAGTCCAGATAACCAACTAATAATCCCCAAAATCAATATATTGTGCTTATTGAAAATATTTTGATGAAATGTACGGAATTCGTGATTCCATTGAGTTTTTCTTAGGATTAGGGAGTAAGCCTACGCTGATTATTTCAAGACAACCTCGGGACGAGTTTGGAATGAAGTTGGGGAGGTTAGTAACTTTGATCATATCTCAAGAGGTGCACTAAGTCATTAAGGTATTGTGTCATTTCTTTACTAGTTCCTTTCATAGCAACTTTGAAACCAAACACATCCATATAGTTCCTACAGCAATAGGACAGATTCCATTTTCATGTTTAATGAGCGGAGTAAGAGGTGCAGACGCTACAAAGTCTGCCAGACATGACAAACATCTTCCCCCAAGCCACATATTAACCACTACGGTGATGGCGTGTAATAGATCTATGGCTATAGCAGACCCCTCCCTACATAGAGCATCCAAAATGTCTTGAGCTCTAGTGTCATCTCTCCCACACAAAGTTCCTTTAGGAAACGATTTAATACAACCAAGGACATTGTCAATATCTACTATAAGGAGAGGCCCAGAATAAATGGTGCACGACATGGATGGGGGTGGCTTGTATGGATGTTTCGCCTTTAAAGTTTTGATAGTGTCACTGTCGTGTGAAGCAACACCCGAGGAGCACAACACTTTCACTGTTGTTGTAAAATGTCCATCGGCAACCTTATGGAGACACTGTATGACGTTGGTGTTGCCATTTGTTCTGCCCTCCTGAAAGTCGTCTGCTTTTTGGTCCGATGAGCCAAGACCTGCACTGTCGAGCATATTTTCAACTAATGTGACAATACCGTCCTCTTTCCTAAAGAGTTCAATATACAACGACTTTCATGTGGGGAAAACAAGATTACGGAAAATCATAATGATTACGTGATTACTTTAGCATTCGATGTTCATGTGGTGGAAGAAGCCTCTCTAAAAAAAAGTGGTGGAAGATAAAGATAAATAATGTGTTACTTTTAGGAATACCAAGGAATTCTTGTATGTTCCTAATTTTCAAAGCATGTATAAAAGTGAAGGATTCATTGATGATGAAAGTTAAGGATCTTTCGGAATCGAGCTATTGGTATGGACTTATAAAGAGATTATAACATGAAAGTTACTAAAATGACATCCAAAAACTCAAGAAAAACGCATTTCGGCAAAATATGATCCCAATATGGGAAAATGTCAAAAAGTGCTGAAAAGAAATTAAGAAAATTGGATTAAAAGGTAGAAAAGAGCTAATGTTGAAAATGGGACAAAAAAAAAAAAAAAAAAAGCTTATTAAGATTTTATGAAGCGTATTTAACCGTTGGAATAGAGTTTGAATTACATTAGAAAGACTATATTAACATAGTCATTTAATAATTATAAGATTTAAAGTATATTGCTAAAATAAATTAATTCGATAAAAATAAAGGATAAGATGTTAAAATGTGAATAAGAGACTTAAACTGTATAATATAATTAGTCATTTCATGTAGTTTAGTATATCGCTACTTTACTAGACTACATGAAATTTAATTAGTGAAGTATAATATTATTTAATGATGCGTAGATGTGAAAGTAGCCTCTTGTGATAATTATATAATTGGGATAATGACTTGAAAGGGTAACGAATTTTCGACTTTTGTCACATTTAGTCACTAAACTTTTTTTCGTTATCTATTTGCCATTGAACTATTGAAACTGTTCACATTTTACCCTTATGACCGGCTGTTACCGGTCATAAGGGTAAAATGTGAACAGTTTCAATAGTTTAGTGGCAAATAGATAACGAAAAAAAGTTTAGTGACTAAATGTAAACAAAATCAAAAGTTCGTTTCCCTCTAAAAAGTTCAATGACTAAATGTGAACAAACTTCCTATTGTATTATGTTTTAGGCAAATTATTTATTTTTGTTTAATTGTAGCACCATTTGTTGATGAAGAAATCTATGAAATAAAAAAACAAAATGTAACATCCGGATTTCCAGGTATCATAATTTAAGTATTTTTCTTTTGAGTTAAGAAGAGAGACTCGACGAGTTGACGCCTCAACTCGTCGAGTAAGGTCGCGACTGATAACTCGGATTAATGAATGGACTCGACGATTCGGTGAGGCGACTCGACGAGTCCGCGCTGTTGGCAGAAACCCTAAATCTTTGGGCCCGAGCCGTATTTAAAGGCACTTATGGCCTTCAATTGCGACTACCTTTCCCATAAGTGAGAACCCTAGCGAGCTTGAGTGTGTAGAGTGAGAGGAAGAGCTATCTTGAGCTTTTTGGTGTGATAGATCTGGACCCTTCTAGGTTCAGAGAGCCGAGAATATGAAGCTTTAGTAGAGTAAACCTTGGGGTTCGAAGTTAGGAAGCATAACCTTAACCAACAATGTGATGAAATAAAATGATAAGAGATAGGTGATGATAGAAAGGTGATGATAATTTGGTAAATAGATGATGATGAATATGTGATGTAGGATGAAAGGAGATACCATAACCTTAACCAACAATGTGGCGATGTAGTAATTTACCAGAGTATAGATGGCGATCACGGACTATTCTAGACAACCCAGTGGAAACACCAGCAGGCCCATAACCTGTAAGTGATGAATTACGATTTCAGACGATGTTGTAACTACGTATTCATGCGATGATACTCTAACCCCTTACTATGAATTATGAGTTCAGATAATGTTGTAACTACCTATTCATGGAATGTCACAAATTTCGCATGCCAAACCAATGGTCATAAGTCACATCAGTGAAAATGGTTCATTTTTTTGTAAAACCAAAATCAGATTGGAAATTTTGATTTTTTATTTTGGAAAATGTCAAACCATTGGATTTTTATT